AAAGGGAGTTAACAAATCCCTTATCTGTTTGCTCAAAATAAATTTGAAAATGGAAAATATGAGAATGTATTGATTAATATATTTATTAAATAGCCACCCGGAACAGCCATGATGTGGGTATATTGGGATAATTCATTTTTTTCGTTTTTTTTTTAAATATTTACAAAAAAAAGAATGAGTCATCTGCAGAGTTTTTCTATCAATGTCAATAATAGTCAAAGATCACCACTTTTCACAATGTTGTGTCCATTACTATATTAAATAGTAAATTTAATATTTTATATTATTAATATTTAAAATTAATTAATTAAGTAAGTAATTACTAAGACTTATATCATTAAATAATTATCATCTAAAAACTCTTAGAGTCTAAAAATATTTTCTGACTTCAAATAACCTGTAAAGGGTTGATAAGCCGTAAAAAACGAATCAATTAATAAAAAACAGTAAAATGCATGTACACATATTTGAACAGGCATCCCAAGCATTGAAGGCCTCAGTAAAGAAAATTTACCCATCTTCAGGGATTGAAGCTGCATTCAATTTTTGGCAAAGTTTAATCTTTGTGTCAGAAAAAACGCCATGTCAAATTCTATTACTGTATACACTTTTGACTCCCTCGGCATTTGTTTTATAAAAGCGATAAAGATTTTATTAAAACCCAAACATGAAAATGGATTTGTACATTTTCATTATTCTTGTGAATTGACAACAAATATATTAATCACTATTTATTTGTCTATAGGTCTGAGATGAGGTATTGTAATTATTTACACTATTTACATTGTTTGGACTGTTATCCTCATCTTTATTGACATATTCACCTTCAACTTCTGTCTATATTTTTGAGGTGAGGTATTGGAATTATTTACACTATTTACATTGTTTGGACTGTTGTCCTCATCTTTATTGCCATATTCACCTTCAACTTCTGTCTATATTTTTGAGATGAGGTATTGGAATTATTTACACTATTGACATTGTTTGGACTGTTGTCCTCATCTTTATTGCCATATTCACCTTCAACTTCTGTCTATATTTCTGAGATGAGGTATTGTAATTATTTACACTATTTACATTGTTTGGACTGTTGTCCTCATCTTTATTGCCATATTCACCTTCAACTTCTGTCTATATTTTTGAGATGAGGTATTGGAATTATTTACACTATTGACATTGTTTGGACTGTTGTCCTCATCTTTATTGCCATATTCACCTTCAACTTCTGTCTATATTTCTGAGATGAGGTATTGTAATTATTTGCACTATTTACATTGTTTGGACTGTTGTCCTCATCTTTATTGGCATATTCACTATCAACTTCTCTCTATATTTCTTAGATGATGTATTGTAATTATTTACATTGTTTGGACTGTTGTCCTCATCTTTATTACCATATTCACCATCAACTTCTGTCTATATTTCTGAGATGTGATAATGCATCTATTTACACTATTTATATTGTTAGGACTGTTGTCTTCATCTTTATTGTCATATATACGACGTTTCGGCCGCTGTACGCTCCGGCATTCTTTAGGTGATTAATCTGCCTAGACCGTGATGGCTGGAAGGGGCAAGTGGCTCTCCTGGGCTCGACGCCTTCATGTCACAGATTTAGTATTATTGATAAATCGTTTTCTTATTTTTTAACATTTAAAAAATTCCACATCCGTTCAGGACGTAACTGGTCATCGCTATACAGCGATGTTTCTTTATATTATTTGTAAGTTAACATTAGGAAAAAGGTGTGTTTTCCCATTATCTTTCGTTTAGAATCCAGAGTCTTTCTTCTCTTTGTTGGTTTGCCTTGTAAATCCTGAGAGCTATCTATCCTATGTAATCTATAGATTGAAGGAAGAGACTATTTCGTGCCTTTTCTAAGGGTATTTGCGCTAAAGTAAACGCAAAGTTAATCAGAATATAAAATTCCGTTCATCGATTAAATTTTCAGTGCCGATATCCGTTACATTATCCACACAGTATTTCTTAAATTAATTTATTCAAATATATGCAGCACTTTTGATGTGTGATTTATGCAGTCACTTTTGAATTAAGATTAAAAAAACAAAACAAAAAAACAACCCATACCACTTTTTACGGGACTGGACTCATTCCATCTCGCCGTAAATAAATAATAAACGAAAAGCTGTAACAGTTTCAACTTTGAACAGAAAACCACGCCTATCACAATAATTACGGTCATTAGCAACGAAAGCAAGACGAGTTTTAACTGGCTGAAGGTATGCAGCATTTATATGACGTAAGCCTAGCGTAAGAAAAGAAGCCATTTTGTTCTTTATTGAATCGCACCAAGCATAGTTAATATGCATATCGGAAATATAAAGTTACTTACTTTATGTAAGTGAATTCAAAGACCGATTCCGACGGAAATGCATAGAGAATTAAGGAAAAGCAGAATTAAAAGAATAGTAAATACTGTTATTGCAAAACAACAAATGGATTCTTTTATCTTTGACAAGGTGTGCTTTAACCCGCTCAGCCACGAATTGTACTGTTTATAATACCGAAGAGATTCATTAATATATCCAGTGTTGTTCGCTGGTGTGAATCTCTTTTTTGTGAAGTTGTTGTTAACACAACATTCTGGTCGATCCGTTCTTCATCCTGCATCAAGTGTAATCTGTGAGAATCTTTTTTCTCATTCAGTGTCAGTTACGATGGACTGGTCATATCTTGAGAATGTCTGATGACAGTATACACAAGATCCTAATGTACAGCCAGTTAGGTCAGCCATGGCTAAGATACACAGACAAGCTGAACAGCAATTTATCAGCTGTCAATATAACCACATAACACACTTGAGCGCTTAGACTTGGATCGGGTAGAATGGAGATCAACATGTTTTAGTGGACTCAGTAGTTTTCAATCTGCTTGTCTGAATGATCTTCAAGAAGCGAGAGCAAGATCTAAAAGGTCAGCCAATCTAACAGTGATCTCATCTCACAATCCTCACTCTTGCTCCATATGCGGCCTCCTTTGTAAATCACTAGCTGGTCTTAAGTGCCACTTAAGATTATCGCACAAAATTTCATAACTGAATCAATTGGTTAAGCTCTCAGATCCTCATATGTCGAAACCAACTAGAGAGTCCATTATTATATATATATATATATATTATAAACTGCTACATTAGAACATGCAATTTACCGCGATAAAATTGCATATTTATTTCGACATTTAAAGACGTTTCGTCAGGCGGCTAACAATGGTGGTAATAAAATATTTTTTTTAATAATACAATTTATGAAATATCACTTTTTTTTATATTTTTGAAAATTTTTCCATAGAAGGCAAAGAAACAAATATATAAAAAAAATATTCATTCCATAAAAGGAAAAGAAAGAAAAAAACAAATTAAAGTAAAAAAGGAAAGAAAATAAATAATCATTAAAAAGAAAAAAAGAAAGACGAAAAAAAAGGAAAGGCATAAGAAAGCAACTCTACTACAAAAGAGAAGGGAAAGAGAAGAAAGGAAAAAGGAGAGGAGGAGTATATCCAACATTTACAAATTTTACAGATTTAATTATTTACAAATATTTATTGCGCTTCTCTTGTATTGAACACTTTTTTTTAATGTTATGAAAGCTTGAATTTATATTCTTTTCGTTCGTTTACATTTGTATATATATATATATATATATATATATATATATATATATATATATATATGTAGCAACTATATGGATATAGATCCAACAGTATGAAGAAAAATATACTGAAAAAACAAACAAAAATCCTGATATGCGATTAAGCTGTTTTACTGTTTAATGTCAACGTCGGACGTTTCGGTCTAATAGACCATCTTCAGGACATATTCATAAAACATAATTAACACAGACCATATACAATTCAACAGGAAAAAGACGATGGACATTAAAGCAATACCAATCCAAACAGATAACTGAAATCTTTTATAAGATCAGCGTTCCGTTTAAATATGATCGCGTCATCGTCACGTGGGCGATGTGAAAACGTATTCCTAAAATTTGAGTATTTTGAATGACGACGACGTGATCATATTTTCAGTATATTTTTCTTCATATATATATATATGTATGTATGTGTATGTAAAAGGGTTCACACTGTACAAGGCTCGACGGCCACTCAAGGTAGAGGGTTACGTTAAGGGGTAGTTTATATGGATAGGAGGGAAGATAACGGTTGACTCGAGACGTGAACAGTTTAAAATTGTAATGATCGGGAGAGCATCCTCTTGGGAGTTTGTTCCAGGGGGGCTCGTAGGAAGAAGATGTTTGAGTGGTGCCTACTTCTAGCCGATGGAATGTGGCTGTTTTGCTACTATGTAAGTGCCAAGGCGGGTCCTAGACGTGAAGGTTAGACCTGGCGGAACTAAGGAATGTGGTTCGTCTGAGCACTTTCCAGAGCCGTGAGAGACTCGGAGACGCTTCTGAAGTCTATCAAGACCGGAAAGTGAGGACCATGCAACTCCTGATCAAATATGGCAACAGTACTCCATTTTCGGTCTGATCTGGTTCTTATAAAGGTAGAGAATAGCAGCAGGAGCCAGGTACTTACTGGAACAGTACGGGGAGCTGATCATTTTATCTGCATCTTTAGCAATGGATTGAGGTTGAGTGTGAGTTTAAGGCCCAATATGCTCTCAAAGCATGGTAACTCATCGAGGCACATCCGTTCATCGTGACTGGCGAGAGTTCGGAGTCTGATTGGCGGTGATGTAATTTAACTAGTAGCATATATACACCAGACAGTGGTTGGTATAGATATGGGCTGCTTCAGCCCAGGGTCTCACTGTCCAATGGAAGCCGTAAAAAAACAAATAAACACACACACACACACACACACACACATATATATATATATATGAATAAAAATGACAATAGGAAAACTGGTAATTGCTGACGCGTTTCGTCCAATGTGGACTTTATCAAAGCAAAATACGAAAAATAAATAAAATACGAAAAATAAATCCATATATATATATATATATATATATATTTATGTATATACAAAATCACATCTATCTATCTATCTATCTATCTATCTATCTATCTATCTATCTATTGAGAAATGAATGTGAATGCATAAACGATACGATCACCAAAGTTTTTTCGTATTTTGCTTTGATGAAGTCCACATTGGACGAAACGTATCAGCAATTAACAGTTTTCCTATTGGCATTCTTATTCATAAATATTGTCTTCTCTACTGGTTAAATCGGAGAAATTTTCACACACACACACACACACACACACACACACACACACACACACACACACACACACACACACACATATATATATGTATGTATGTATGTATGTAAAATGCGTATATATATATATATATATATATATATATATATATATATATGTCTTGAGAATGTCTGATGACAGGATACCCAAGATCCTAATGTACAGCCAGTTAGATCAGGGCCAAAGGAATGTATGACGCCCAGGGCTAAGATACAAAGACAAGCTGAAAAGTAACTTCTCAGCTGTCAATATACCACATAACACCCTTGAGCCTTGGAGCGGGTAGAATGCAGATCAACGTTTTTTAGTGGACTCAGCAGATTTCAATCATCTTCAAGAAGCGAGAGCAAGATCTAAAAGGTCAGCCAATCTAACAGTGATCTCATCTCACAATCCTCACAATTGCTTCATATGTGGCCTCCTTTGTAAATCACAAGCTGGTCTTAAATGCCACTTAAGATTATCGCACAAATTTCATAACTGAATCAATAAGCTGTCAGATCCTCATACGTAGAAACCAACGGGAGAGTCCATTATTATATATATGTAATTTTTACATGCATTTTTTATATATTATATATGCGCGGTATTCATTGGAAAGCACTCAATATCAATGATAAGGCTAACATATTTAGTGGGATTGCTGTGAGTTTGAGACCCTCGGTTTCACGCTATTTGACAAACTGATTAAATTTTGGATTTATATATATGGTTGCGTATAAACGCAACCATATCTAAATCTGTGTATATATATATATATATATATATATATATATATATATATATATATATATACACGTTTCATTAAATAATATAGACAAGTGTTGACTATTTTATGTAAATTCTTTTCATAACGTCTAATCAATTTAATAACATTATCATTGAACGAAGAAAGAAATTCACAATATTGATCCATATTTTTTAATACAATCTAAGCTTTCGGCTTACATAAGCCATTATCAAAGATGTCAATTACAACATATTAAGCAATATACGGACAAGACAGTGATGATAGTCTGTCATTGTTTACATAGATTTCTAAGCAACGATAAACACGTGCATATAAGACGCTAGAAGCGAAAAACGCGCCGCATCTCATGACGTCACACATAACCACGCGAGAGGGAATTGGAGAAGTATAAAGTATGGGATACCATTGGTATAAACCAATGGTTTCTGTTACCAATTATAGACATTTAAGGATATTTGTAGAGATTCCATAATTGATTTTGTTTAGGTTGGGTTTCAACTGTTTGATGTATAATGCTTCAAGGATTTTTAGTTTTTGTCTATTGTTTTCATGTCGAAGTATAATTCTTGAAAATAAATGTAGAGAAAACTACTGTGGCCACAAAATGAGGGATCAGTTTATATATTGACCGTAATATACAATTGAGCCTTTATTTTATATCCACATTACAATTTCTTTTATGTTTACCAAATTTTGAATTAGTTATGATTCTACAATCTAAAAATATTTTCTGACTTTAAATAACCTACAATGGGTTGATAAGCCGTAAAAAATCAATCAATCAATCAATTAGTCATTTTTCTTTCAATCTAAATGTAAGCTGTCTATCGCATTTTTAGAAATTCTTCACCCTTTTCCTTAATAAACTGTTCAAATCCTAGTGGATTAAAACATTCACAGATACCTGAAGAAGGCCGGTAAGGGTCAGCGGTCGAAACATTGCGATAATAACAAAGATGAGGATATTAGTACGAATGTAAATAATGCAAATATGGATAACTGTTCATCTAAGAAATTAAAAGAGAAATTATGATTATTATTAAATATATGTCTACTTCTTCATCGTGGATCTCGGGGCTTGTAACGGGTGTACATTTTTAAAATCTTATCACCCCCCCATGCAAGGCAATAAATCCACTAAGACAAGTTGAGTGTAAAAGAATAAGAAAAAAGAGAAAAAAATTACCAAGGAGGGAGAACAATAGAAGAGTAATCAAGAAGACAGTAGATAACGATTGACATTGCATTTAAATTTTTGAAGATCAAAGTTGGCTGGAAAGCATGGAGCGAAAAGAGAGTTCCACAAGCGAGAAGTGCAAGAATCTCTTAAAAAATGAATTTCCTATATCAATGGTTTTGGGGACAATTATGTCCCCCAGTACGCGTTGAAAACATCTGTGGGGCACATATATTCCAGGGGACTTAAAAGGGTTAAAGAGCGAGAACAATAGAAGAGTAATCAGGAAGAGAGAGGTGAGATAGAAGAAACTTACCATAGAACTTACGTTTACATCTAGCCAATTCAAGTGTGAATTGATGAGACCATACCGCCAATAGAGTACTGCGTTTAAATTCATAAAGTCTAGGTACCATAGAGAGGAGTTCACCCGGACGCAAGAGGTTATTGAGTGTAAGAGAATATGAGAAAATATTTGAAGGTCAGAGGCAATAAAGCCACTAAGATGCACGTCTTTCTTTCATCTTATTTCTCTTGTTTGTTTACACCTTGTTTACACCTTAAGACGTAATAGTCTGAAATTGTGTGAATTTCTAAGATGAAGCCTTGTCATTATTATTCATATTTGACTCGTCTTTCTTTCATCTTATTTCTCTTGCTTGTTTACACCTTGTAGCAATAAGACGTAATAGTCTGAAATTGTGTGAATTTCTTAGATGAATCCTTGTCATCATTATTCATATTTGTTGATATGCCGCTAAACAAATTCAATCTTCCAACTCTTGTTGCGTTGGATATATCGTCTGGATGATTTATTTTCCAAGCCCACATACTTGAAATCTCAAATGTATTTTTATTTATCCTAACTGCATGTTCCCTTTTTTTTGGATTCCATTTTCTGTAAAATTTTCTTTATTTCTTAGTTCTTCGTCTATAATATTATCTGCACCCTTCTCTATAATTATATCCGCTCTCTGAAGCCACTTTTTCGATTAAGAAATTTTCTAACATTAATAGTCACATTGGAAGATTATTATTGTTGTGGATTCCGACATGAAATTCGGTCTCCAATGAATAACAAACGCAGGAATGAAATATAACAAAAAAATGTATTTACACAATTATACAATTTGTAATACCGTTAGTAAATCCAGAAACGTGGTTAGTAGCAATAATAACATATATATACAGTCTAGTGAATCCAGTCTCGAAGTAGGACTTCCTTAGAGTCTACGTGTTCCTTACTGTTACTTCTACAAGCGGTTACCTCACACTATTACTCTACCTCCAACTCAATCTCAATCTCAATCTCTCTGTCTACTCTGACTGACTCTGGGTATTTAACGGCAGCAGTCCAAGTACATACTGGTCGAGTCCACTTGTATGAAAAAGGGATGGACCCCATAACAATTATCATATTGCAGTTTAGATGCATTTTCTTTGTTTCTGACGATTTTTTCTTATTTGTTACTTTGCTTAATAAAAGGCATCTTTCGCTATTCCAATATCTTTTAATAGGATGTTATTGTTTGGTGTAAAGGCAAAGGAAATAAGGTAAAAGAAATATGATTTAAAAAATGGGTAAGAACTGACAATGGATTATATAAAAATTCCGAATTGTAAAATTTATTCCCGTTGAAAAAAAAGAAAACAGAATACTGATTTTGCAAGCACGCTTCTATACTATTTACATTTAAAATCTAATGAAAGAAAAGCTAAAAGCCTTTTCCGGGCTTCAAATTACGTTTTCCGACATCCATGTTTCTAAATCTATTTGTACAGCTAACAGATTTAGCAATCCTTCTTCAGCGTCCATTGAAGCATTCGACATGATGCTAGAATAACGATTCATCATTTTCACAGACAATGTGGGCCACAGACAATTCTCTACTGCTTATGGTCCGAACAGAGACCACACACCGGCTAAGCGCATATGCAGACGCCATACTTTAACTTTTTTCTTTGTAAAACAATTATTTCTCAGAGAAAATATTTAAATTACACGATAAATATTACACCGATTTTTTTTTGTTTTTAACGTCATTTTTGTTCTAAGATTTTACAAATGCTTTGTATATGGTTTCTTTTATTATTTTGAAAAAAAAAGAAACTTTTTCTTTCTTTCTAGGTTTTCTCTACTCTCTCCTTTCTCTACACTCTCCTTTCTCACCTCTTTTCTCTCATTACTTATTCCTTTCTTTACTGTCTCCTTTTTCACCTCTCTTTTCTTTACGCTCTATTTTCTTTACACTCTTCTTTTTCACCTCTCTAATCTCACCTTTCTCATTTATCTATTGTCTTCTTTCTCACTGATCTACTTTCTCTACACTTTCATTTCTCTACTCTCTCCTTTCTCACCTCTCTCATTTCTCTACTCTCCTTTCTCACCCCCCTCTCCTTTTTTCTGTCTCCTTTTCTTGCTTCTCACCTCTCTCATTTCTCTACTCTCTCATTTCTCTACTCTCTCTTTTCTCTACTCTCCTTTCTCACCTCTCTCATTTCTCTACACTCTCTTTTCTCTACTCTCCTTTCTCACCTCTCTCATTTCTCTACTCACTCTTTTCTCTACTCTTCTTTCTCAACTCTCTCATTTCTCTACTCTCTCTTTTCTCTACTCTTCTTTCTCACCTCTCTCATTTCTCTACTCTCTCTTTTCTCTACTCTTCTTTCTCACCTCTCTCATTTCTCTACACTCTCCTTTCTCACCTCTCTCTTTTCTCTACTCTCCTTTCTCACCTCTCCCATTTCTCTACTCTCTCATTTCTCTACTCTCTTTTCTCTACTCTCCTTTCTCACCTCTCTCATTTCTCTACACTCTCTTTTCTCTACTCTCCTTTCTCACCGCTCTCATTTCTCTACTCACTCTTTTCTCTACTCTTCTTTCTCAAATCTCTCATTTCTCTACTCTCTCTTTTCTCTCTTCTTTCTCACCTCTCTCATTCTCTACTCTCTCTTTACTCTCTCTTCTTTCTCACCTCTCCCATTTCTCTACTCTCCTCTCCCTCTCTCCATTTCTCCTCTCCTTTCTCACCTCTCCCATTTCTCTACTCTCTCATTCTCTACCCTCTCTTTTCTCTCTCCTTTCTCACCTCCCTCATTTCTCTACTCTCTCTTTCTCTACTCTTCTCTCACCCTCTCTCATTTCTCCTACTCTCTTTCTCTCTCTCCTTTCTCACCTCTCTCATTTCTCCTACTCTCTCTTTCTCTACTCTCCTTTCTCACCTCTCTCATTTCTCTACTCTCTCTTGTCTCTACTCTTCTTTCACACCTCTCTCATTTCTCTACTCTCTCTTTTCTCTACTCTTCTTTCTCACCTCTCTCATTTCTCTACTCTCCTTTCTCACCTCTCTTTTCTCTACTCTCCTTTCTCACCTCTCCCATTCCTCTACTCTCATTTCTCTACTCTCTCTTTTCTCTACTCACTCATTTCTCTACTCTCTCCTTTCTCTACTCTCCTTTCTCACCTCTCTCATTTCCCTACTCTCTCATTTCTCTACTCTCTCATTTCTCTACTCTCTCTTTTCTTTACTCTCCTTCCTCAGCTCTCCTTTCTCTACACTCTCCTTTCTCTACACTCTCCTTTCTCACATCTTTCCTCTCATTACTTATTCCTTTCTTTACTGTATCCTTTCTCATCTCTCTTTTCTTTACGCTCTATTTACTTTACACTCTTCTTTTTCACCCCTCTAATCTCTCCTTTCTCATTTATCTTCTTTCTCACTGCTCTCCTTTCTCTACTCTTTCATTTCTCACCTCTCTCCTTTCTCACCTCTCTCCTTTTTCTACTCTCCTTTCTTACCTCACCCACCTCTCTCATTTCTCTACTCTCTCATTTCTCTACTCTCTCTTTTCTCTACTCTCCTTTCTCACCTCTCTCATTTCTCACCTCTCTCATTTGTCTACTCTCCTTTCTCACCTCTCTCCTTTTTCTACTCTCCTTTCTTACCTCTCTCACCTCTCTCATTTCTCTACTCTCTCATTTCTCTACTCTCTCTTTTCTCTACTCTCCTTTCTCACCTCTCTCATTTCTCACCTCTCTCTTTTCTCTACTCTTCTTTATCACCTCTCTCATTTCTCTACACTCTCCTTTCTCACCTCTCTCTTTTCTCTACTCTTCTTTCTCACCTCTCTCATTTCTCTACTCTCTCTTTTCTCTACTCTCCTTACTCACCTCTCTCCTTTCCCTACACTCTCCTTTCTCTACACTCTCCTTTCTCACCTCTTTTCTCTCATTACTTATTCCTTACTTTAATGTCTCCTTTCTCATCTCTCTTTTCTTTACTCTCTCTTTTCTTTACACTCTACTTTTTCACCTCTCTAATCTCTCCTTTCTCATTTATCTATTGTCTTCTTACTAAACTGCTCTCCTTTCTCTACTCTTCTTTCTCACCTCTCACATTTCTCTACACTCTCCTTTCTCACCTCTCTCCTTTTTCTACTCTCCTTTCTTACTTCTCTCAACTCTCTCTCTCTCACCTTCTCTTTTCTCTCTCTTTTCTCTCTCTCTCCTCTTTTCTCTACTCTCTCCTTTCTCTACTCTCTCTTTCTCTACTCTCCTTTCTCACCTCTCTCATTTCTCTACTCTTTTCTACTCTCTCTCTTCTCCTCTCTCTCATCTCTCTCATTTCTCTACTCTCTCTTTTCTCTACTCTCTCTTTCTCACCTCTCTCTTTTTCTCTACTCTCTCTTTCTCTCTACTCTTCTCTCTCTCTCTCTCTCTCTCTTTCTCACCTCTCTCATTTCTCTCTCTCTTTCCTTTCTCTCCCATTTCTCTACTCTCTCATTTCTCTACCCTCTCTTTTCTCTACTCTCCTTTCTCACCTCCCTCATTTCTCTACTCTCTCTTTTCTCTACTCTTCTTTCTCACCTCTCTCATTTCTCTACTCTCTCTTTTCTCTACTCTCCTTTCTCACCTCTCTCATTTCTCTACTCTCTCTTTCTCTACTCTCCTTTCTCACCCTCTCTCATTTCTCTCTACTCTCTCTGTCTCTACTCTTCTTTCACCTCTCTCATTTCTCTACTCTCTCTTTTCTCTACTCTTCTTTCTCACCTCTCTCATTTCTCTACTCTCCTTTCTCACCTCTCTTTTCTCTACTCTCCTTTCTCACCTCTCCCATTCCTCTACTCTCATTTCTCTACTCTCTCTTTTCTCTACTCACTCATTTCTCTACTCTCTCCTTTCTCTACTCTCCTTTCTCACCTCTCTCATTTCCCTACTCTCTCATTTCTCTACTCTCTCATTTCTCTACTCTCTCTTTTCTTTACTCTCCTTCCTCAGCTCTCCTTTCTCTACACTCTCCTTTCTCTACACTCTCCTTTCTCACATCTTTCCTCTCATTACTTATTCCTTTCTTTACTGTATCCTTTCTCATCTCTCTTTTTCTTTACGTTAGTATTTATCTAATTAACTTTGAACAGATGAATTTTCACCCCTCTTATCTTCAATTATAAACATCGTGATTCAATCTTTTCTCACTGCTCTCCTTTCTCTACTCTTTTCATTTCTTAAAACTTGTAATTTCTCACCTCTCTATTTTTATTTTTTAGCAGAACCTCAATTAACTCTCTCATCCGCTACTTGACTTGACTCATTTCTCTACTCTCTCTTTTCATCCAATCAAATTCTTTAATCACCTCTCTCATTTCTCACCTCTCTCAAATTTGAATATTTATTTGATAACTTTTAAAACGGACATTTAAAAGAAATATATAGAAATTTTTTGTTCAAGGAGAATACCAAGAATAGGTAAAAATTAAAAAAAAATTACTCACCATAAAGTTATGATCGAAAGAATATATCATTCCTCGGTTTTCAGGGTTTGTTTCTAGTATATTTCTGTGCTTATATTTTAATGAAAACTCTGTTTGTAAAGAATTGGTATTAGCTTTACTATATAGTACTTTTAGGGGTGTCTTCAAACCACAAACATTCCGATATATATATATATAATGTCCTTTCTCACCTCTTTATTTCCCTACACTCTCCTGAATCGACACTCGTTTTTTCACCTAGTTCTCTCATTAATTTGTTTTACTTACTTTAAAAGTTAACCTTTCTCAACAATTTTTCTTTACCATTTTTTCAATTAAAGGGTAAAAATTCAAATTCTCTAATCTTTCCTTTTCAATTATAATAATGTCTTTTGATAAACTTTCTCCCTTTATAATATAGCTCTTTCTTCTCACCTTTCACATTTCAAAAAGTCAAGTTCTACAAATCCCTCCTTTTTTCTACTATGCTTTTATTACGATTATAGAAATTTTGTATTTTTTCACCTTTTTTTTAAATAAACTTTATTTTTTTAACATTATTTCTTTTTTAACAAAAAGTTCATCAAATTATGATAAGGGTTCAATTATTTATCAATGTCAAATTTCTCTAATCATATATCATTAATATATATATATATATATATATATATAGTTTCTCACCTAATCCATTTAGTAGTGTTATTAAACAGATATAAAATGCTCAATTCTTATTTTTACACACGTGATGAGTACTTATGTTGGTGCATAATTATCAGAGCGTTTTATGAGCAGGGATTATTTGTTAATAAAACTGCTATTTCCCTTTCCCATTCTCTAAAATTTCTTTTCTATTTTTCTTTATCCAAATGCATTTCGATAATCTCCTTTCAAAAATAAGCATTTTAAAATCCTTTTGAATTCTTTCATTTTTCATCTCTATTGTTTAAAACTACATTCTTTATCCACCAACTCTCTTATTTCTCTTAAATTCTCCCTTTTGCATTAAATCCTCATTTCTTTTCAATCTCCCTTTCTCACCTCTCTCATTCTCTTTTCTCTCTTTTTTCTACTATTTCTTTCTCACCTCTCTCATTCTCTCTCTCAAAATAGTCTCTACTCTCTTGGATTCTTTGTCTCTCATTTTCCCCTCTCCCCAGGTCTCCTGCTCTCATTTTAATCGAGACAATGTCATTCATTCTTTTCCTCTCTCAAAGCGATCTCTAAAACTCCTTTATCACCTCTAAAAATAGATCTTTCTCGGAGATTTTGCCGATCTATATTTCTCAGCTTACTTTTTGCTCTGATTCTTCTTTCTCACCTCTCATTTCTCTAAAGCCTCTCCTTTTCTCGTGAAATCTTTTCTATAAATTCCTTTTCTCCCTTCTCTTTCTCTACGAGTCCTTTCCTAACTTTCTCTTTATTTAATTTCCCATTCTCTATTGTTCTTTCTCACCTCTCTCTTGTTTTCTAATCTTTGTTCCCTCTCAAGAAACTCTCTCTGGAAGGAAAGAGTATTGGAAAATCTTTTTTTTCTCACCTCTCTCTCTCTTCCTCTACTCTCTTTCTCCTCCCTTATCTCTTTCTTTCTCTCTTTTTTGGTCCTCTTAAAAGGAGATTATATCATTTCTCTCTCTCTTTTCTCCCTCTTTCTCTCTCTTTTTTTTCCTTTCTGAATTCTCTCAGTCTCTTTTGTCTCTTTTCTCTATGTCTTCTTTTCTCACCTCTACTCACTTTTCTCTCTTTTTTTTTCGCTCTCTCTTTTCTCTACTCTCCTTTCTCACCTCTTCATTTTTTTCGCTCTTCTTTCTTCTTTCCCATTTATATATTTCTCCTTTTTCTCTCTCTCATCTCTCTCTTTCTCTTTTCTCTCTCTTTCTCTCACCTCTCTCATTTCTCTACACCTTTTTCTCACCTCTCTCATTTCTCTACTTTCTCCCCCACCTCTCTCTTCTCACCTCTCTCTTTCTCTCTCTTCCCTCTCTCTCTCATTTCCTACACTCTCCTTTCTCACCCTCTCTCTCTCTCTCTCCCTCCTTTCTCACCTCTCTCTTTCTCTCACCCATCTCTCTCTCTCTCTCTTTTCCCTCCTCCCCATTTCTCTCTCTCCTTTTCTCACCCCTCTCTCTCTCTCTTTCTCTCACCTCTCTACTCTCTCTTTCTCTCACCTCTCTCTCTCTACTCTCCCCTTTCTCCCTCTCACTTCTCACTCTCTCTCATTCTCTACTCTCCTTCTCTCCCTCTCATTTCTCTCCCTCTCTTTTCTCTACTCTTCTTTCTCACCTCTCATTTCTCTACACTCTCCTTTCTCACCTCTCTCATTTCTCTACTCCTTCTCTCCCTCCCTCTCTTTCTCCCCTTCTCTCACCTTCTCTCTCTTCTTTCTCCCCTCTCTCCCATTTCTCTCTCCTCCCTTTCTCCCCTCTCTCTCATTTCTCTCCATTCTCTCACCTCTCCCTATTCTCTTTTCTCTCTTTTCTCACCCTTTTTCTTCTCCTCTTTCTCTTTCTCTCACCCTTCTTTCTCTCTTTTTCTCACCACTTTCTCTCTTTCTCCTCACCCTTTCTCACCTCTTTCTCTCATTTCTCTCTCTCTCTTTCTCTCTCTCACCTTCTCCTCTTTCTCCCTTCTCTCACCTCTCCCATTCTCTCCTCCCTCTTTCTCCCTTCTTTCTCCCTCTTTCATTTCTCTTTCTCTCTCCCTCTTTCTCTCACCTCTTTCTCTCTACCTCATTCTCACCTCTCTCTTTCTCTCACCTCTCTCTTTCTCTACTCTTCTTTCTCACCTCTCTCATTTTTCACCTCTCTCTTTTCTCTACACTTCTTTCTCACCTCTCTCATTTCTCTACACTCTCCTTTCTCACCTCTCATTTTCTACTCTCCCCTTTCACCTCTCTCTGTTTTCTCACCTCTCTCTTTTCTCTACTCTTCTTTCTCCCATCTCTCCCCATTTCTCTACCTCTCCCCTTTCTCACCTCTCTCATTTCCTCCTCTCCTTTCTCCACCTCTCCCATTTCTCTACTCTCTCTTTTCTCTCTCTTCTTTCTCCCTGTCTCTCATTTCTCTCCTCTCCTTTCTCACCTCTCTCCCTCTCTCTCTCTTTCTCTCTCTCTCTTTTCTCTACTCTCCTCTCTCTCCATTTCTCTACTCTCCTCTCTCTCTCTCTTCTCTCCTCTCTCACCTCTCTCTCTCTCTCCTCTCTCTTTCTCCCTCTCTCTTCTCTACTCTCCTCTCTCTCTCTCTTTCTCTCTCTCTCTCTTTCTCTCTCTCTTCTTTCTCTCACCTCTCTCATTTCTCTCTCCTCTCCTTTCTCCCTCTCTCTTTCCTCTCTCTCCTTTCTCACCTCTTCATTTCTCTACTCTCTCTTTCTCTCTCTCTCTCATTTCTCTCTCCTTTTTCTCTCCTCTCCCATTTCTCTCTCTCTCTTTCTCTACTCTTCTTTTCTCACCTCTCTCTCATTCTCTACTCTCTCTTTCTCCTCTCTCTCTCTTTCTCTCTCTCCTTTCTCACCTCTCTCATTTCTCTACTCTCTCTTTTCTCTCTCTTCTTTTCTCCTCCTCTCCCATTTCTCTCTCTCTCTTTCCCTACTCTTCTTTCTCACCTCTCTCTCTTTCTCTACACTCTCTCTTTCTCTCCTCTCTCATTTCTCTACTCTCTCTTCTCCCCTCTCCCTCTCTCTCTCTTTTCTCTCTTTTCCCTCATTCTCTCTTCTTTCTCACCTCTCTCATTTCTCTACTCTCTCTCTTTCTCTCTCCTCTCTCTTTTCTCTCTCCTCTCCTTTCTCCTCTCTCCTTTCTCTCTCTCTCTCCTTCTCTCACCTCTCTCTTTTCTCTATTCTCCATTCTCACCTCTCTCCCCATTCTCTCACCTCTCTCTTTTTCTCTCTCTCTCTTTCTCTCCTCTCTCATTTCTCTCTCTCTCTCTCCTTCTCACCTCTCTCATTTGTCTACTCTCCTTTCTCCCCACCTCTCTCATTTCTCCCTCTCTCTTTTCTCTACTCTTCTTTCTCCCTCTCTCATTTCTCTACCTCTCCTTTCTTCTCCTCTCTCCACTTTTTCCTTTCTCACCTCTCCCATTTATCTACTCGCTCTTTTCTCTACTCTTCTTTCTCACCTCTCTCATTTCTCTACACTCTCCTTTCTCACCTCTCTCATTTCTCTACTCTCTCTTTTCTCTACTCTTTTTTCTCACCTCTCTCATTTCTCTACTCTCTCTTTTCTCTACTCTTCTTTCTCACCTCTCTCATTTCTCTACACTCTCTTTTCTCTACTCTCCTTTCTCACCTCTCTCATTTCTCACCTCTCTCTTTTCTCTACTCTTCTTTCTCACCTCTCTCATTTCTCTACACTCTCTTTTCTCTACTCTTCTTTCTCACCTCTCTCATTTCTCTACTCTCTCTTTCTCTCTCCCTCCTCTCTCCCCTCTCATTTCTCTCTCACTCTCTTTTCTCTACTCTCTTTCTTTCTCTCCTCTCTCATTTCTCCCCTGTCTCTTTCTCTCTCTTCTTTCTCACCTCTCTCATTTCTACCTCTCTCTTTCTCCCACCTCTCTTTCTCTCTCTCTCCCCTTCTCACCTCTCTCCCATTTCTCCCACTTTCTCACCTCTCTTTCTCTACACTCTCCTTTCTCTCTCTCCTCTCTCTCTTTCTCTCTCTCTCTCTTTTTCTCTACTCTTTTTCTCTCTACTCTCTCTCTCTCATTTCTCTACTCTCTCTCTCTCTTTTCTCTTCTTTCTCATCTCTCTCCCATTTCTCTACCTCTCTTTCTCTCTACACTCCTTTCTCTCCTCTCTCATTTCTCTCTCTTCTTTCTCTCTCTTCTTTCTCACCTCTCTCTCATTTCTCTAGACTCTCTTTTCTTTACTCTCCTCTCTCCTCTCCTCTCTTTCTCACCTCTCTCTTTTCTCTACTCTTCTTTCTCACCTCTCATTTCTCTACTCTCCTTTCTCACCTCTCCCATTTCTCTACTCTCTCTTTTCTCTACTCTCCTTTCTCACCTCTCTCATTCCTCTACTCTCTCTTTTCTCTACTCTTCTTTCTCACCTCTCTCATTTCTCTACTCTCCTTTCTCAACTCTCCCATTTCTCTACTCTCTCTTTTTTCTCTATCTTCTTTCTCCCTTACTCCTTTCTCTACACCTCCTTTCTCACCTCTCTCCCATTTGTCTACCCTCCTTTCTCTATTCTCTCATTTCTCCCTCTCTCTTTCTCTACTCTTCTTTCTCACCTCTCTCATTTCTCTACACTCCTTTCTCACCTCTCTCATTTCTCTACTTTCCTTTCTCCTCCCCATTTATCTACTCGCTCTTTTCTTTCTCTCTTTCTTTCTCCCCTCTCTCATTTCTCTACCTCTCCCTTTCTCACTCTCTCATTTCTCTACTCTCTCTTTTCTCTACTCTTTTTTCTCACCTCTCTCATTTCTCTACTCTCTCTTTTCTCTACTCTTCTTTCTCACTCTCTCATTTCTCTACTCTCTCACTTCTCTCCTTACTCTTCTTACTTCATCTTCGTTCTCCAACTTGAAATCTTCTTTCAGAATTGTTTTTTTTTTGAAAACGAAATTAGGAAATTACTTTAGCACGACTCAAAGCCATTTATTTCGGTATGAAAAAATGTTAGTTCAAAAATGATTAATAGCTTTAGCATCGCTATAATAATAATAATAATAATAATAATAATAATCAACCTTGAGAAAGATTTTCCCATTGAACTTATAAAATCCTGTTGTATAAACATTGGTCGCCTGACTTTAAAATGTTTGAAAGAAAGGTACTGAGTACTCTTTCGCTTCAACTACAACAGCTGAAGAAAAAAAAAAGGTGTGTGATCATCTGCCAATGGTTGGCTGTCACGAACAGGGAGACGAAGATCCTGTCTTGCCGCTTGTCTGCTCCATTTGCCAACGCTGGTCAGCATCACGAACATATTTGTTATTACGCCTGCACATTTCATACAGCCTGACCAAATCCGATCGCTTTTTTTTTTTTTTACAAATTTAGAAGCCATTTTGCGATAGTTAATGTTAGATGAGAGATTGGATGACACGATTTCACAAAGTATAGCCGCGTCCAGCTGAGAGGTGAACAACTTCCGTTCAAGGCCACAAGTAGTGAAAAGTATTTTGAAAGCTTTTACTTCTATATCTGGCTAAACGTTTATAAGGATTGTCAATCAGCTTTAAAATATTAGGAATAGGAAAATAGGAAGATATACAGAAGCGAAGAGGGAAACTGTAGGAAAAGAGTCGGTAAGAGTGACGGACTCTGGACAGAGGCGAAAAAAGTTATGAGATGAAGAAGAATTGATGAAGGAATGATTACTTTCGAAAGGGTGGAGAAAAATACTGAGTTACAAAAATATGAATAAAAGATGGAACAATTTCGGATGCTAGATAACCTATTCTCTTTTCTTTTCATATTTTCTATGACAATTTCTCGGACATTCGGGCCGGTACACATCGTTAATACTGTTTATCATAAACAGAGCATTTACTTAAAATATTTGTATCTATAAAAAAAAATGTATAAATATAAAAATGTCTTGAAATAATTGTCGGACATTGTCTATTTCATAATATACACACACACACAAACACACATACATATATATACATATATATATATATATATATATATATATATATATATATATATGTATATATATATATATACATATATATATGTATATATATATGTATATATATATGTATATATATCTATCTATCTATCTATCTATATATATATATATATATATATATATATATATATATATATATATATGTGTGTGTGTGTGTGTGTGTATGTATATAGTGGACATTGAGGTCAGCATACGGCAGCAATAGTTCGTTTCATGCATAAGCGCAATCCTTTAGATTCTGAAATATATTTTTCACTATTTGTATCGCAACTGTGTACCTTGTGTTTCCAGAAAAAATCATCTTAACTGCTGCTATACCTCTGAATACTAGAAAATTCCTTCATTGATGAAGAGAAGACTTGAGGAAACAGAAATGTGGTTCTACAAAAAGATACTGAGAATAACACAGAGCGAACATGTGAGCAACGAGGAAGTCTGAAAGAAAATGGAAGTGAAAAGGATAGATATCGGTTGAATCTGTAATTTAAAGGGACCAACAATACAGTTTTCAAGGAAGCATTCTCTCGGGAGTTTGTTCCAGAAAGTAACAATTCTGGGGAAGAAGCTGTCTGAGTGAATTTCCTCCTTTTCCAAGGAATCCATAGGGGATGGGGTAGTTTGCCACCAATTACATGGCACATCGGTTCCTAGATGAAAAGGTCTGAACTGGTGGAATTAAGAAATGTAACTCGTCCGAAGATCTTCCGTAGACATAGCGTTATAGTAGTAAAAGTTTGGCAACGTTTCGTCTGTGGGATAAGGGTTGAAGGGTGGAGAATGATTCATCACCTACAGGGTCGCGTAAGAGCTTTTGAAGCTTGCGTTAATATGTAAGAGCAACACATCTTTACGATTAACCAACGATTGACACTTTTTCTGTATTTTTTTGTGCAATGTTTCCAATTGGTGACAATTATTCTTAACTGTCTCGTTTTGATTTCGTTGTTTTCGGGTTTAGGGGGTGGATTCTCGTTGTTCTGTGATTACTAATCATTGTTGCTTTTGTAGAATATGATTATAGTCACAGGTGATGATTCTTTCCAGGATGTTCGGTAGCATGTCTACTGTTCATGGATAAGCAGATAGCAACTCTTTGATTAATCTGAGATATTCACCCCAGGAAGGGTTTGGTAACAAGTCTATTCTCCAACGACGAGCAGAGGGTATGTCTTTGATTAATCTGAGATAAATTCATCACTTGTGACGATTCTACCCATGAAAGGTTTGGTAGCAAGTCTAATCTTCAATGACGAGCAGAGGACATGTTTTTGGTTAAGCTGAGTAGTAGTCAGATGATGAAGGACCAATTGGCTAAGTTTAGACACTTTTTCGTTTACATGAAGGTGTTTATTGATTGAAGTGTCACTTCTATGGAAATGTCTGCTTAGGATTGTCCCCAGCTACGGTTTACAGAATTTCAAGATGGACAGAGCATTGCCGCCCAGATATAAATGAATCTTCGGGGAGACAAACAAACTTCTCGGTTGAAACTTCATTTTTATAGACAGAATCAATATTTGTTGTCGCTTAGGGGGCTTTTTAGAATCACATTATATGGCATTGCAGATTCTTTTTTTGGAATTTGTCAAGGTCTCTAGATGTGTAGCAGAAGCACTCGGCTTGAAGTGGCACCAATCTTCAATGCATTTTCGAATGACAGACTTATAAATATATAAGATTCTGCACCCACTGACCAAGTTTAGACATTTTTCTTTGTCCAAGTATGTCTTTTAAGATCGAAAAGTGACTTGTATTGAACGCTTTTGACCATTTTCATGCAGTTTGCGTAACGTTTTCTCAGGTTTGCAGAAGGTCAATATTGACAAAATTTTGTTCCCCAGATCGGTGGGCATTTTCGAAAGAAAAAAGTATCAGTCGTAACATGTCAAACCACCGTCAAATTATCCGTACACTTAATTTCAAAAGAGAATGAATATTTATTTCCGTTTCCGTGGCTGAAGTGCCCTTTTTAGAAACATACAGCATAATGACTGATATAGGATTAATCTTAACTATGACCTTCCACGAAAACGCGAGACCTAAGGTTTAAAATGAATGTTTAATAATGAAAAATCTTTCTTGAAGCTTTTATTTTAGTTTTAATTTCAAGCTGAGCGATTATATTTAATATTTTCAAGAAATAAAATACAGTATTTCAAAACTAATTTAAATTGATTGAATTTAGCGCCATTTTTAGCAAAGTGTTATAAAGATGTAAATCTCTTTATGCAAAATCTTCAAAAATAAAATATAGTTATCTGAAACTTGAGGAATATTAGCTAGCTTAAAGTATAATTAATCTGATTTAAAACAACTATTATTTTTTTGAAAATTCTAAATATAACAGCAATGCATTTTCCGACGGTCGCTTGTTCATTTATGCTGATAGGTTTCTAACATCTCCGTGAAAGTCGATGATGGATAGATTGTAATGGAATCCTGTTCTACGGGAGTCTTTAACCTACAAAAAATAATTGAAGAATATAATACGAACACCTTTTAAGTGTTCGGTAATCTTGAAAAGTTAAGAAAAGAGTCTCCTTAATCTAAGGCTTTATTGAATATTTGAGAGTTTTGGCTCGAAATTTACTATAGATGTCGCTCTTATTTTTTGATAGTGTCGTGTATGGGCGACCGTATTTATAATATTCGGCATGTTTTAAACATTCATAGGTGTCGCTCTTATGTTCCCATAGTGTTGTGTATGGGCGACCATATTTATAAAATTCGGAATGTTTTTAAATATAAAAAAAACAATTCAAAATTCTTTTTAAAATATTCGGGGGTGTCAGACTTTAATAAACTTTACGATGTATAATTAGTAAATATAGTTTTACTTAATAACAATGTTTCCTAAGTGTTACAGCATTGAAACTGAATTTTAACAACATCTGAATATATTAACTACGTCCTTTGAGTGATGGCCTGATAGTTGCGATGGAAAGCAACTGAAGATATGATGAAAAGAATGATTATTTATCTGTCAACATAAAAAGATAAGGCGGTTCTATCGACAATATAAAAAGAATATCATAGTCAGAACATATGGCAAATCGGCAAGTTCTAAGATGAAGTGAAACTTCAAATACAATGTCGATAACGTTTCTGCTGAAATGTTTGGGATACTTCACGAGGAAAGGAGGCTTAGAAAATTTAACAAGACGCACCGAAAGCAAACAAGAAACGAAGAAAACAGGGCTTAACTTATTTGATAGCGATAGATGAGACAGAGATGAAAGGGTTGCTGTGGAGAGCCTTGATCAGGCAGGTCCTGAAAGGATACACCTCATGAGTTCTCTATCACTATCTGTCAAGCTATATTTCGAACCGTCTCACTTCGAATTATCTCACACTCTCTTTCCAATCTATCTATCTATGCCTGATCCTCTCTCTCTCTCTCTCTCTCTCTATCTATCTATCTATGCCTTATCCTATCTTTCTCTCTCTCTCTCTATCAATGCACCTCACGCTCTATCTTTCTCTCTATCTATTTGTCTGTCTTTCTCTCACTGACTTTCACTTTCTGTCTCTCTTTCTCTCTCTCTCTCTCTTACTCGATTCAGATGAAATAAAGTCAAGCATTATGGCAGCATTCACCAACTTCAACTAGGACATCATCCAAAATAGATGCAGGAGATTCCGAAGTTGTCTGGAGGCCGTGGTTGAAGCCAATGGCGATTTTATTGAATTCATTTACTCTTTAGTATTTCAAGATATTTTTGCTTAATTTTGGTAAATATATCTATTAAAATGAGATGTCAGTGGTATTTTCATTTTTGGCTATACTTGTGATTAGGACTTTAAAAACAAACCCATATACTCAGAGAATGCCAATGAAAACGGTATATCTTGGACGCATGTGAGCTGTTTTACGTGCAGAATTTTAA